TATCCATCCACTGGGCAAAGAAGTGAGCGTGAAGTGTCCCTTACAGGCATCTGATCATGAGTGAAAAGTCATCCAGAAAGGAATAATGTGTATCATCAGGGTAAATCCCAAAAGATCAAGGGAAACAACCTGAAGAAACGAACATGAAGGAAAAGAGAAATACAAAGATGCATACAAGGACAGTCATAATCCCCTTTCCAGAAAGACACCAGCTTAGTGCATAGATCTTCAGAGCTGTTGCTGGACCTACCAGAGTAAAGAACCGAAGGACAGAAAGAAGACACAACATTGGCATATTCTAACTCCCCACCACCTGGCACAACAAGGTTGCCTATATTTCCTACAGGCCAAGTGGCAACATGAAAGGAGGCTGGATCTGAACTGCCCAGCTGGCACTCTCCCCTAGTACTGCTGCCTGCTGGATGAGATCTCAATAGCAAGTGGCAAGCCAGAGATGGACCATCTGCTGCAGGAACGACAGCGCCTCATGCTGAACTCAACCTTCTACCCAGAGAACAAAGGGATCTGGGAGACCGTAGGGGCAGTGGCAAGGACCAACACCAGTATCCACTGAAGACCAACACCAGTATCCACTGAAGACCAACACCAGTATCCACTGAAGAACTATCTATCCTCTTGCTTATCCCCATCACCATTTCTCATTCCAAAAGAAATCCAAGGAAAGACGTATCTCAGAATAACTCCATCGTCGTCCCATGGAAGTGGAAGAAGCCGACCTCAGGCATATCTCACTTTAGATTCTAGATGTTGTACATCAAGCTTAAACCAGGGAAGAGGGAGAATGAGACTTAAGTCAACTTGACAACCAAGTTTTTAAATGTAACTGGACTTTGAATAGCTATGAATCCTCCCACAGTTTAATTACAGGATGGGCAAGGGAATTTGAGGAGGCATGGCTGCACCAAAGTGGCTCTGTTATGTATACCCTACTAACCCTGGAGCTTCAACCAAAATGGGACAATACATACCCAGGGGCCAAACACAGGCAAACTCAGGGTGACCAAAACAGAATGATGTATCATGTCAGAGTCAAGCTACCCCAAGCCAATTTCCTCACACCTAGTTCTCCAACCCTGATCGAGGCCTACTTTCACACACTGCCCATCATTTACATGATCGGGGGGTCGTGGGTGCTTACACCTATTGTGGAACACGTGACTGTCACAGAAAGTAAATAAGAGACTGGGGCCAGGTCACCAGCACAGATTCATGCCCTTGGACACTTGCCCTGCCCTCAGGTTAACTCTGTGATTCCACCCACCTCTGTTGGCCCCTTTGATCATTTCTGAATTCCTGGGGATGAAAAAGGGATGACCATGTTGGCGGCAGGAAGAGGAATAAGATCCGAAGCCCTATTGGGACATCCTGCATTATTTTCCTCTTCTGCCATAACGAAGCACTGGAAATTCAGAGTCATAAGATAACCACAGGTATGTTCCTTTCCACTTCTGCATGTCAGAATCCTGAAATGATGAATACAGAATCCACAAACTGAAGTGAGGGGGATGCTGCGGGTGCCTCTTCAAGGGACATTCCTGGCCCATACATCTGACCTCCTGCAAGACTGGAGGCCAAGTTTCCCAGATGTCCACACTGACAATACCGAGGGGCTTGGAGTGGATGGGTCTCTAGCATGATGTTTCTTTAAAGCATGGAGCATTGAAAACACCAGACTGAACCTGGAAAATGCGAAGATGCTCTGAGAGCACAGATTCTGGCGTTGAGGGAGGTGGAGCCTTGCTCCTCCCCAGAAGAAGTGAACAGGAGAGTTGCCCCGAACACTATGGGAGCCGCAGGCTCGAGTGCTGGATGGACTTTACTCTGATGAGCCTTTTCTAGGCTTCATCTCAAAGGTAGGAACACGGTTAGGCCTCTTCACCTAATTAAACGCATATCTTTTCTCCTTGGGTTATTTGAGATCTAAACTAAAATAATGGATACTGTAAAAAAAAAAAATCTGAAATGAATTTTTACAGCACTGAAATCAGTGGGTCAACAGGGTTGGTTACTGCTTTTTGTTTGTTTTATTTGAAAGGCAGAAAAAGAAAGGGAAGCAGGGAGAGAGAGATCTCCCAACTTCCTAACTCTATGCAACAGCCAAGACTGGGCCAGGCCAAAGCTGGGAGTTACCCCTGGGATGGCAGGGCCCCAATACTTGAATGATTATTTGCTGCCTCCCAGGGGTCACATTAACAGGAAGCAGGATTAGGAGAGGAGGCAGGGCTCAAATTCAGGCACTCTGATGCAAGCTTTCCAAGAAGTTTCTTAACTGGGGCATTAAATGCCTGCTCTGCAGGCCAGTTATGTCTATGGGCTATGGGCACTCCCTGACTCCTGGCTGCACCACTCCAGCCTCTGGCTTCCCATGGTGTCCTTCCAGTCTCCCTCATTGGTCCCACAGCATCCTATAGGTTCATCCCCTCCCCTCGCAACAAAACAACAACATCCACACACACACACACACACATACACATTTGTGTAGAGACCCTTTCACCACATAAGAGAGCATTTACGAGCTTCAGGGATGCGGAGGTCCTTACTCAGCTTTGCATGCATCCCAAAGGCCTCCACTCTCTGTGCCTGGAGGCTCCAACATACAGTGGCTAAGTGTGTCTCAGCCCAACCCGCCTCCAGGACCCTCTGCAGCATCCACCTCCGACACCAGCTTCCAGCCTTACAACGTGAAACCATCCTGTTTCAGACTTCGGCAAAACAATAAAATAAACTAAAATTAAAAAAAAAAAAAAACAAGACCCAGAGGACAGAATCCGAGCCAACCCAGATATTGCCTATTTTATAAGTTGTGTTCTGAAATTTGCAAAATTCTTCTCCCCGAATATGAAGTCACTGCGAAGTTTTCAAACAAATCTCAAGCCTTCCCAGTCAAATGCCCCTTGGAAACAAGGAGAATTGGACTCCTTAAGGAATCTGAGGGATGCAGTCTCACCCCATGGGCAAACAAGGCAGACACACTTGAGGCCATCTCACTAGGACGGTGCAGGAGAAAACAATAGCAAGTCACAAGACCCACGTCAAACCCGTGCCTGGAGGAACTTTCCAGAGAGCTGGGAAGCCACGCCATGACTTTTACACTAGTAGCAGACAGACAGACCCGTCTTCTCTTCTCTTGGATAAGAGAAAAATGAGGGGTGAGTTGAGATTCAGGGGGCAGCTAGCACAGCATTCATCCCTGGAGGATGAGGAGAAAGCCTAGAAAGTTCTCAGACATTCCAGGCTGATGCAGGAGAGCTAATGCCTCAGCAGCTCTCATCTTTGCGAAGACTGGGGTCCCCAAGGAGAAGGCCAGAGCAACAGGAAGCTTCAGGGCCTGGGAGACAGGAAGAAGGAAGGCTTTTCCAGCTGTCTGGGTGAGGAGGACAGTGTGCTGCTCCAGGAACACTCGAGGGCGAATCAGCAAAACAACAGCCCGGCAGCCCCACGCCCCACTCTGCTGCAATCTCACATCATGGCTGCTGTGTTCAGAGCTGGAGTTCTGGCTCATCCTGTGACCACCTGACTTTGCTTACTTCGCTGGAGCCCTCAGGCTCCTTAGAGCTCAGCCTCACACGTGGATCCGTTTCCCACCAAGCATCAGGAGGCAGAACTTTTGAAGCAAGCAAGCGAAGTAACTAACCAACTTTCAGAGGTTCCCCACCCAATCACCAACCTCGGAAATGGCAATTTGGAAGGAAACCCAGGCTGACCCCAGAGTAACATCTGAAAGTGCGACCCACCAACAGGGCCCAGGATGGACTCCCTTAAAGTATAAGAAGGCAGTAGCTTGCCACACCTGCGGGAGCCTGGCCCTGAGACAGTCAAGCTCCACCTTCAGCCACCTGTCTCTCCCCAGCGAGTGATGCCTCCCTAATGTCCCCGACAAGTCCACAGCAAAACACAGACTCCCTTGCACCTCCGAGGCTAAGATGCGCATCCGTGGTGTGTGTGGATGACATCCCAGACACTCTGACTTTTTCACTCTTTCTCCCACCTCAAAAGCATGAGCTCCTGCTCTCCCAAAGCACCATGAGGCAGATGCCACCACGGCTTCCTCCAGGCCGATTAGGAAACTGGGGGACACTGAGCAAAGATGTTTGTTTGACACAGCCGTGATGAGGTGCAGCTGGGCTCCGGACAGTGCCTGCCGTCTCCTTTTATAACCTTCTGTGCACGTTGTCTCAACACACAGCAACAGCCCCGCCACAGGCACACAGATGTGGAAAAATCCAGAAGAGGTCAGGGACTGATTCAAGCTGGGCAGGCGCTGCCCTTGGCCAGAGGTCAGCAGACTGTCTCAAAGCACATTTCAGTTTTACAGGGTGCAAGCTGACCTTGAAGCCTCGGCTCTCAGACCAGATTTGCTAACAGGACCGGAAATGGAACAATCATCTTTACACTCCCAACACTTCCTTCCTTCCACTGACCAGAGAAATCCCGCATCACTCAGAGGATGCTTCCCTTCAGTTCTAACAGGAAATGTGAGAGAGGCCGGGCTGCTCTGTATGGAACACAGCATGTGTGTCCTCCGGGTCGCCACCTTCTTCAGCATTTCCTAGTGCCCAGGAGGCAATTCAGGAAGCGATGTATGAGCTGGGTCCTTCCACAGTAGTTGGGAATGACACGCTTCTAAAGACAGGACTGCAAACCGGTGGGCTACGTACGCACAGAAGGAAATCCAGACTACCTACTTAGCAGCCATTCTAGTCTGAACTGCTGATGTAATGGCATGGCTGGTGCATACATGGTAGCCACCATAGTAACCCCATTTTGCTCAGGATCCACGAAGGAGCCAAGGGACCTGGTTCACCCTTACAGCTACAGCAACCAGACGTATCGTTGGCTGCAGACATGAGACAAAGTCCAAATTCTCTGGAGTAGAATGAACACAAATGCCACTCCCATGGTCTAGGACATGGATTCTAAGCAAACAACAGAATGATGTTCCCCCACCCCCACACACACTCCACTCCCCTTCCCATTACCTGTAGAAGGGGAGCATACATCAGGAATGTCCACATCAGACGCCACTGGAGGTTCTTCTGGGAAGCCATGTGGTCTGGTCTCCTAAGAGTCTCACTTGCAGCCTGCAAAAAAGGAAAGAGTTTCCAAGGAGCTCTGGCACCCCAGGGATAGAACCTGAGGCTTTAATCAGCACCCTGAAGCCCAGACAAAAGCTTGGAAAGTGCTGCACTGTTCCAGGAAGGAGCTGTTCATGGTAGAATACAAAGCCCCTGCACTGGAGAGGGGTTGGGGGAAGGGAGCTCTCTTTAGGATGTGTCCACATCAAGGGCAGGTTGGACTTGCCTCCAGCTGGACCACACGGCCAGCCTTACCGAAGCCACACCAGCGACCTCCAGCACATCTGTCAGCAGTAGGGAATGGTCAATGGCACCAGTCTCAGGGAATCAGCTTAGAGCCAAGGGCTAAGGCACCGGCTGGCTTCTTACTGGTTGGGGCAGAGATGAGGCAAAGACCAACAAAGCCAACCAAGAAGTCAAAGGCTAGGCTGAGAACCCAGGTCTTTCAAGGTGTTCCCCAGTCGATGACAGCATGCGCTCTCCACGTTGGCACCTGCAGCCAGACTGGGCTGGGAGCTGAATTAAGGGAAGCTTAGAGGGCACTGCCCCGGGGGGGGGAGGAACCAGCAGAGGTCAGTGGAGAGACCGACATGGCCGTGGGGCCTTTTTCAAAATTATATTTTATTATTTTATTATTATTATTTTCTGAGCGTGCCTGTCAACCTACAAGGAAATCAGTTCGAGTCGGGGCTGGAAAAGCCGAGGTCACACTCCACTCTCGCTTCGCCTCGCGGGCGCCTTGGCGGAGCGGGTGTCCGGGGGCGGGTCGGTGGCTTCTCTCCATCTGGAGAAAGCATTAAGGGCCTGGCCTAATGCGATCCGCAAATGTGCTGCTGTTTCCGACCTGAGGCGGCGACTCTGGGCTGCCGGGGAAGGCGGCGGGTGCCGGCTCTTGGGCCTGGGCGCCCCCTGCTCGCCGGCATCTCTCACCAGCCTTCCTCGCGCGTGGGCGCGTAGTACTCCCACGGCTCCGAACCCTCGCAGTTGTTTCAGCAGCGCCGCCGCCGCGTCCCCGCTGTCCTACGCCCATTTCCCACGGCGCGCGCGACGGCCCTAAACCTCGGAGCTCCAGGTGCCCACGACCCGGTGCCAGCCGCCCGGACGTTCAGTAGCACCAGACAACGCTATGGCGCTGCCGTCAGCCTGCGCGCTACCTGTGAACTCCAATCCTGAAGAGGTCCTGAAGGCCACAGTGTTCGCGTCGCATGAAGCCCCACACTCCCCTCGCTTGGAGTCGCCACTTGCTTCAGAGGCTCCTTGCTCCCGAGCCTTTCCCTGGGTCTCCGTGGAGACTCCGCTGCGCCCGGCTCGGGGCACCCACCTTGCGCCTCGGCGGCGTCAGGGACGTGCAGCCCGGGGCTCGGGCGCGCGCTGGAGAGAGGCTGGCAGAGCGGTCCCGTCAACACTTCGTAAGGAATCCGGGACCAGGACCTTCCCCGACGCCGGCCTCCAGCCTGAGGCGCCGCAGTCACCGCCGCCGCTGCCGTGAAGTTAAATGGGGCTGGGACAGGGTCCGCCCCGCCTCTCCCGCCCCCTCTGGGCGCGCAAAGCGCGGCGCTGGCCCTGACCCAGAGGCGAAGGGCGCGCGCCGCCACCTGCACCGCCGGGCAAGTGCACGACGCGCCCCAGCGTCTGTCTGCCCGCGCGTCGGCACTGCGCCCTCGGCCCGAGCCAGGGGCGCTGGGGGCGCAAAGCAAACGCGCGGGGAGCCGGGCTCGGGCCGCCCAGGAGCGCGCGGGGCCGCGGCGACGGCGGGACTCGGCTGGAACGCTTCTCCGCCCGCTTCCTGGAAGCCACTCCACGCCCTGGGCCGGCCGCCAGGCGTGGTGCCAATAGCCGGGATTGCCGACGCCGTCAGTACCGCCGCCGCCGCCGGCAGGCGCGTTGGGGAAAGGCGGCCGCTGCGCCGCGAGCCAGCCGGGCCGCCCCGCCTCAGCCGGAGCAGGGATGCCGGCCGCCCCCTCCGAGAGCCTCCACCCAGCGCGCCCGGGCGCGGGCGCCGGCTCTGCAGTCAGACCCAGCGGCCACAGGGAGGTTTGCGCGGAACCGCTGGCTCGTGCCTGAGCGACTTAGGCGCTTCTGACCTGGCCGTGCCAGACCCAAGGCGGAGCCCTGTGGCCCCGTGGCCCCCTCCCGCTCTGCGTCGCCGCCTTGGTCCCCCAGCCGCACAGGGCCAGTGCGCGGGCGCCTGGACTTGCGTGGCGCTCACTCTCACCCCGGGGGCCCTCGGACCCTGAGCCACCCCCGACCACCGGGGACCGAGCAGGGGCCGCTGCTTAGCTGGGTACCTGGCACCCCTACATCCCCTACTTTGGGTAACGGAGCTCCCCAACTATCAGCAGTAGCAAAGAGGCCCAAGCCGGGACCAACATTGGATTGGTTGGCCCAGCGACTGGACAGGCAGTTGTCCTGTGGGCTTCTGTAAGTGAAGAAAAAAATCGGTAGAGATGTCTGTCTCTGGCCTTCACCTGGTCTCGGAGGTCTAAACCAAAGGCTAGGGCATTGGTTTTAGACTTGATTTTACACTCCTACTTAAGTACTACCACTGCCCTTTCCTGGTGCGCTGGCCCCTCTATTGAGTATCTGATCTTCATCAAGGCCTTAGGCCGGTCGTAGTTTCATCATCTCATTGTTCCTGTCAGGAATCTAAGGCTGAATGGAGAAGTCAGGACTGGTTCCACACTGCAGCTTCTCCCTAGCACCTGGCAGTGTTCTGCCTGCCTGCACTGTCGCTGGTTGCTCCCACCTGCAGGGGGCGCTGCCTGCGGAGAAGCTGGCCCTGTCCTTGCTCACTCATTCTGTCCTTCCACCTGCCAGTCAGAAGGAGGGCCCTTCTTCTCTCTGATTGGCTCTCCGCTTGGAAAATAAACTAAGTGTTTAGGGCAGGGTTAGACTCAATCAGAACTCTGTACAGTTAATTCTGCATGTTCACCTGTTGGAAAAGTTCTGTGAGTCGTGAATCTAAACACTGAGCTGCCAACCCTGGGTAACATTTTCATCAACCAACACATCACCTTATTGGATGTGTATTTCTATTTTAAGGCTTCTTCTCTGACATAGGTTGGCTGTTCGTTAACACCGAGCTCATGGCCAACGCGTTAGAACATGTGCCCCCGTGAGGTTTTATCCAACATTTGCGTTTTCTTTGCAGGGCACAACACAGTCTTCTGCATAGGAACACGTGACCGATTGCATGTTCACGCCGCTCTTGGGGTTGTTGAAGACAGTGACATCATCAGCTAAAGAGAGGGAGGTGTGAACGTGTGGTTGTAAAGAGAGCTTCCGGGAGGCTTGCTGACCAAGTGAGAGATGAGATAAGCAGGCAAGGTATTGCCTTGGAAACAAGCACATCGAGCTACTAAGGATTTTCACCAAATGACTCTAAAAGTCCTGCAAATGCTAAGGATGGCTACAAACCAACGCATGTTAAGTGAACCTGCAAACAGCAAAGGCAGAAATAATGAAAATGGAAGGAACAATTTCCTAATCCCAAAGAAGAGGAGAGGAATAGCCTTGTCAACTTAAAAATATATATATATTTACCATGCCGCAGGCATTGTTTCTGGCACTGAACTTGTATTAACTCACTTAATCGTCTCAGCAGCTTACAGTTGATAGTCTTTCAGTTCCTGTTTTACACATGAGGAGACTAGAGTTGAAAGGTGTAACACCACATAATCTTAGCAACTGGGCCATACACTACCTCTCAGGTCATTGTGTCATTGTACAGCCAGCCTGACCTATCATGGGCTCAGTTGTCGATGTCACACAAATTCTCAAGATGAAATGGAGAACTCAGAGAACTGCAGGCTGCTTCTGCAGTGGCTGCTGCTTTGAGCTGAGCGCCCCGTGTCTGTAACACGGGAAAGCATTCAGCGTAGTCTGAGGGGCTCTGCTTTAAGAATCGGACGTCCTATCTGGACTGCCTTTCTGCTTTTCCGGTGGGCACTGTGACTTCCGAGCCAGCCTCCAGCCTCAGGGAGTGCCCTCTGAGTCGCACTGAGGCCAATGTTGAATCTTTCTCAGCCCAGCTTCTATAAACGGTGCTTAGAGGAACAAAGACAAAAGAGAAAAACTTTATGGAAGTTCTGTCTTCCTTTGAACCCCAGCAGGAGGGCTGATATGCTCTGACTTCAAATCACAGAGCCACAGAAGACAGAATGCATGATGGGAAGCGTTGCTGCCCAGACCCCCAACCCCCAGATGTTGTCCCCACAAGCAAACTCAAGGCTGTGTCTGATGGAGGAGCGGAGAAAAGAAGCACAGCACTTGGAGCCCAACTCTGCAGAAGGTAGAGTTGACTGAAGCAGACGCAAGGCTATCCTCACAGCCAGTGCCACCAGGCCAGCATGACAGGTGGGCCTGGTACCCTAGAGTGCTCTTTAGGAAGTACCTGTAAGAGAATGGGGATGCAAGACAGGGAAGGGGCAAGAGAGGAGCAAGCTGACCTGTGTTGAGTTCAGCCGTCATGTGATCTTCAGAAACTACCCTACAGATTCGCTCTAGTTGAGGCAACAGGATTAAGACATGCCACTCTCTGCCACCCTTAGAGTTGGGTGCTGGTGTTACCTCCTAGGCTACCCCCACAGCAAGGACATTGGTCCAGAAAGGTGTTGGCCATAAGCTCTTAGCTATTCCATTGCACCTGCTGGGAGGACAGGTGAGCCTGCTGGCAACAGGAAGCAGATAGCAGAGCACCCTCACCAACAGCATCTGATTCCACGGTTTTTCAGGATGTACGCCAAAGCCCACACAGAAAGCATGCTCTGTCCAGAATGGAGCTCTTCTTTCACATGAACATCTGCTTTTGTAAAATGGTCAGATCTCCATCCATAATGCTCCTTTGTCTCATCAGTAAAAAGAGCCCATGGGAGGAGTGATTGTGATAGAAGGCAGCTCCGCGTGATGAGGGATGCTGGGAACCATGGCATACTCTTGCACTTGGTTTTTCCCTTCTGCTGGGCCTGAGGTCCCCATGGAGTTTCTCAGGGCTCTTAGAGCAAGCAGACCTGTGATTTCCAGCCAGGAGCTTTGGAATTAGCACTGTTGCAGCACTGCAGGGCTGAGCCAAGCAAAACACCTGTCAGGAGGGTGGGGGTGGCAGTGAGTGGGGTCTTTCCACAAAGTTCCATATATTGAGAGTAGGACAGGGAGTCCCCTAAGGCACTATAAAGGACAGGAAAGGGATTCGATGATGTTGCCAGGACTGCAGTTTGCCAAGGCCAAGTCCCGTCTGCCCTCCAGGGCTGGAAAGGTGCTGACCTGACTCAGGCTTGGTGCGTACCATAGTCCTGTATGTGGATACAGACATGCATCCACATGGACTCCACTGGAGACATCACAGTGAAAGAACTGATGTGCTAGTGTCATTCTGTAGATCTCTATCTTCTGAGAGGCACCAAGTGACCATACGAGGCAGGGCACCAAGAATCCAGGTTCTGATCCAGACGTGGCCACCCATTGGGAAATTCAAGGCAGATCACTGCCTTTGAACATCCAGTTTTCCTCTGATTTTTCAAAGTGTAGAAATCATGACGTTCTAACAGCCCTTTCCTGGGTAACTCCAGAGGCTGCTTTCATAATTTGCTTTTAAGTACCTTCGTAATCTAGAGCCCAGCTCTGGAAATCGCTCCTCAGCCCCACACAGGCAAACAGTGGTTGAAAGGGCCTCTAAGCACTCGCTTTGCATGGTCAGTTGAAGCATTTTGCAAGCAAGCAGACAATTCAATTTCACTCAAGCTCATTGACCCCTGTTTCACACACAGTTCTAACCAGTTTATTCACGCTGTTTACAAGAGCACAGCAGAGGTTACAAGTCAGAACCTCTGCCAAAGACTTCCCAACAGCATAAAGGGTCTGCGGTGGGGTGGGGGAAGAAACTAGAAGAGTCACAAAAGAAGTCAAGGATCACTGGAGTAATCCTTCATGGCTTCACTGCCGTCCGCGGGGCCTGAGAGGCCCACAGGGCAGTGGACAGCAGCGTGGTCACGATCAGGAGCCCAGGTTAGGGAGCCACGGTGCCTCCAGAAG